TGTCCTACAATCACACTGCTTTACTGGAAGGGATTCCCTCGATGTCCCACAATCACACTGCTTTACTGGAAGGGATTCCCTTGATGTCCCACAATCACACTGCTTTACTGGAAGGGATTCCCTTGATGTCCCACAATCACACTGCTTTACTGGAAGGGATTCCCTTGATGTCCCCCACTACGATACATCTTCGAGGCTCTGCTATTATTATTATTATTGTTATTATTATTACTATTATTATTACTATTATTATGGTTACTGACTTCATTACTAACAAGCAGTTTACAGGTTACCATTGTTTAGGAGTCCATCCATCCATCATGCGTAACCGCTTCTCCTGGTTAGGGTCACGCGGGGGTCCAGAGCCTATCCTGGAGGCTACGGCCGTAAGACAGGGAACAACCCAGGATGGGACACCAACCCATCACAGGGCACAGTCACACGCCATTCACTCACACAGGCACAGTTTATATTAATATCATATTGTGAACTAAAACACTGCAGAAATTATGTTTAAACATCATCTTTATTAACAATTGTGTGTTGTGTGATGGTCAATGCATTATATTATGCAACGTATAGTATTTGATAATGTTCCTGTAGTTGCTTCTCTGTCGTTGACTTTTTCTTAACAAGATTTGCTACCGACGTTGCACGTGTTCAGCACTTCTGTCGTCACTTACTGGTAGCGATTTTAATAAACCCACTTTTTCGGTAAAAAGATCTCATTAACATAATTAAGTGATATTTGTATCTAATGACATGAAGAGGTTTCAGACTTATGATAGATTTTGTGAATTTCAAAGGTTAGAAATTGAAATGTATATCCTACATACTACACCAACACTTGCACTGCTTAGACTGCATGTGTATTGGAAGGGGTTCAACTCATTTTAATACATATGCAATATTCGTTTATGAAAACTCAACTGAAAGATACTTGGATATAAATTTAAACCTAGTAATATGAGCCAATATGAGACAACTTACAGAACACCGTGGTCCCCCAGGTTTGTCACCCAGGACAGGGACCTGTTAATTATCTCTTCCCTCTCCAAAGATTAGCGTGTATGTCTAAAATGGTGCCGCGCTAAATGTTTTGTTTTTGATTCAGTGGTAGTGAACGTTCCGCTAATCCCTTTGCATTATATGCCACTGCAGCACCCCCTGCCGGTAAAAATGCTTATTACTGTCTAACAAAATTTGGGAAAAAATGACCGGACGTGACATTCCTAAGGATGAGCTCTGTCACTGAATATAATGCATACCCCCAGGTTTCATTGGAGGGACCCCCCCCTTCATAAAAGGGGCTTTCACAGCGGAGGAGACGTGATGCAGCTTGACTGCTGTAAACTAAGGTAAGACTGCGACTGAAACTCGCCCCCCCCACCACTCTGGAGAAGCTTACCCCTATTTCAACTCGCAGACCCCCCCCCCCCTCCTTCATGTTCACGGCCTTTCACTGAGTCCGAGAGGCAGTGTGACTGTTTAAATTATTATTTTTTTTTTTGTATCCAAGCAGAGAAACTGTGCTCACCATAGCAACATTGGCAGACCTACTCCTGCAGTGTGTCACGGGACCGACTGGGGGGCAGACACTGGGAAATGAGGTTACCTTGTCTCGCTTACTCTGTGATTTTTGCACTTATTGTTCAATGATCCATTCTCTGTGCCTTTACCAAATACATAATTTTATGTCCTGTGCCTGAGCTGCAGTTCCGTTATCAGACACTAGGTGTACTGTCTGTACGTGATCGTAAGGAGCGATCATCTCGTGTTTATATGGACCCCTGATATCAGGTGCACCTCTGCAGGTGCGTGTGTGCGTCTGTGACATCTGTGACTCCCTGAACATGTCCGTGCCAAGCTCAGAGAGGGTGGGGGACAGTGACTCACTGGCCTGCACAGTGACCGATGTCTCTCTGCTTGTAGGTCCCATTCCCCCTACAGCCCTGTGCAGTGTGGACATCTGATGGTGTCAGTGTGTGGGACAGTGGGAACAACTGGATCCATTGTCGAGTATCTGTGCTTCCTGTCCTCCCCCCTGCCACTCCCCCCACAGCACCCCGGCAGGGCAGTATAACGACCGGGTTATTGTCTCACAGTCAAACTGCCTTGTGAAAGTGCTCGTTGTTGAAGGTCCAGCCTGCCCATTGTTCTCAGGGCAATCCTGAAGGTTTCAAGCAGCCGTGTGTGGAATCGGGACGTTACAGGGTTAGCAGGCCTGATGGCCCCCTGGGAGACTCCGGGGAGGGGGGGGGTCTCCGCATCACACAGACGACGAAGCTCGCTCAACACGCTTTCCGGGGGCCAGCTTGCATCTTTCTTCTGCCATTTGCTGCGTGATCTTTTATTGCAGTTACCAGGCAGTGGAGCTGGTTGGGAGGCAGACACATCGCGCCTGAAAGTGTCAGCTAAGCAAATACTTGTGGCTTAAATGCCAGAAACTGGCCGCCTGCCAGCGAGAGCGTTTGGTGTAGCGTGCGTGGGGGGGTCTGTGACTGATCCCACGCCGCACGTCAGGCCCCTGCTCACAGCAGGGAGGCACACTGAGGCACAGTGTGCCGAATATCCCCCTGTGAGGAAAGTGACTCTGTGACACGCAAAGCCCCCAGCCCCCGAGGAGAGACCCCAAGGCCCAAAGGAATGTGAAACAGCGCCTGACTCTGTGTGTGCAGCCATGAGAAGCGGCTCCTTATACCGTCATCCTCGTGCCCCGCGTGATGGATTACCGCCGGGATCGAGACGCACACGACCCTTCGAAAATCAGCATTTTATTGATCTGGGGGTTACCCAAGGTTACAGAAGGAAGCCCTGAGTGTCATTTTTTGCAAATATTTAAACACACAGCTTTGTATATGTTACCATGCAGTATCAATAAGACGCTGCTTTTGTCAGTATTATGCTTTCACAGAATCATTCATACATAATACAGTGGTAATTATGTCAAATCTACATGGTGTCTTTCCCAATAAAATTAGGAGTTCAGCTCCTCCTTCAGTGATATTAATACTGTCCCCTTCTAAGCTTCCGACTGCCTGAATAGAGATACTAGCTTGCAATGAGAGGGGGGGTCAAACCTCCCTACCTCTCTTGCCCACACCTTTGCTCTAATTCCCACCTGCAGGGGGTGCTGCTGGGGCTGCAGTGGAGGATCTCTCCCTGGGGTGGGGGGGATGTTTCAGGCCACATTGCCCAAACTCCCCAGCATCTTGTGCACCCAGGTGAGCCAAGGCTGCTGCAGCTGAGGCTGGGGGGTCGCTTGCAGTTTGCCCATGGCCGGAGCGAGTACAGAGGGAGACATGGGAGAGATTCTTCTCTTTGGTCTTTGTTCTCGACTGGCTCTGCACTTCTGTTTTTCGGTTCTGAGAGGCCGGGTGGAGAGTTGGCCTGTAGACGTGTGCAGTACTGCCCTCTCGCCGTGGTCCTCTGAGTTTCGCGGCTGGAGCCGTCCGCTGGTTTCAGTGCTGACGGCGTGCAGAGCTGCACTAGCAGAGCTGTGCTTTGCTTTGCTGTTTAGGCCTGTTCGCAGTGCAGCTGTAAGAGGGATGCTGAAAACAGGCCTTTCCACAGAAAGAGAGAAAGAAGACATGTCTTCCTTTTTCTTTTTTGGTCCCATATTATGCCTTGGCTTGTGTCTTGGGGTCTTCTGGGGCTGGCTGGTGTGAGTGCTGGAATCGCTCCTCAGACGTCCGGCGTCTGTGTCGCTCTCCGGGACCGGCTGCTCAGCGGGGGGGCTGCTGCGGGGGGAGGTTCTGCCACCCATGTCTGTCTCTGGTTCAGCTCTGGTTGCTGTAGGAGGAGCCGCTGGGCTGACAGACCGGTCAGCCGGCCGCCATTGCGGTTCATCTTTAATGAGTTTGTGGGAATGAACATCCAGGTCTGGCACGCTCTCTGTCAAAATGTTGACGTTTCTCTCCAGTGTGCGATCCAGGTGAGCAGCCATTAAAAGGCCATTATTGTCGGCCTCCTCTGTTCTCCGGGCCGAGGGCGTCACAGCAGAGGCTTCTTCTGGTCTGGAGAGGGTGCTCACCCTCTGCTTCCTCCTCCGTCCCTTGTCCTTCTTCTTTTTCTTCATCTTTCTGTCCATCATCTTCTTCTTCTTCCTGTCGCCTCTGTGCGCTTCCTTCCTCGCGGACTCGGTGGTGGAGCCATGCGAGGTGGAGACCGTGGCCAGCACTTTGATGAAGTCCTCTGCAGCCGTCACCACGTTTCTGATGGATGGTTCCTCACCAGCGGACGCCAATGGCCGGGTGGCACCCTCTGGCCTGTCTGGGACCTTCTGTACCCGTGTGGCTAGGGTGAGTGTGTCGATGACGTCGACACCTCCAAAATCGTAGGGTATGGATTCCCTCAACACGGCAATAGGGACCTTATCATACCTTTTGCACCTGTTTGAGAGAAAGAGAGAGAGCAGTGAGTGACCATCCTCGGCCCCATCCTTCCAGCGGTCACACCTTGGTCTGTGTAGATGGGTCATGTCGGATACTCACAGGCCGTACCAGTGGCGCTCCACGCATTGGTCCTCAAGCACAAACTCAAAGCACGGCACCTCGATGACGTTGAAAAAGGCTTGACCCACCACCCTGGAGGATGTGTCATTTACCTTTCTCAAACACTCCTTCAGCCTGGAGGAACAGGGCAGGCCTGTCAGCCACATCTCCGAGATTAATCAGTTTGCTGCCAGTAACCCAGGGAAGCAAAATCAAAGTTGTGGCTTCTGCACCATTTTTAAACCATATTCTGTGTTCTTTAGTATTATAAGATACCGATGATTAATACGCATTTTTTGGAGCGACTGAGGGGGAGGGGCATGCATAAGCAGAGCAATTTGAAGCTGTGATACACCTCCATCAACCGAATACATACGGAGGCCTATGAAGTGAGACTTATTCCCGGAAGCACCCGGCGCGCTTTGACCACTCACGCGTTATCGCACTCGCAGTGGCTGATTGAGTGCCATTTAAAGTTGGTATAGCCGAAGTTTGTGGAGAAGGCCTGCACTACGTAGGGGCAGTGATCGTGGACCCGGCAGCAGCTGTCAGTGGCCGTGAATTCACCTAAGAGGGGCGGGCACATCAGCGGAATTAGCGCTTTAACACAAGCTATAAATCAAAGCTACAGAGAGAAAATGGCAGCGGAATGTTTATCCTTTTAGAAATATATATGATATTCTAGAACGTGAGAATTTCATATAAATTATTAAGGCAATAAACATTATTCTGTTGGTTGATTGGATATGGATGAAATAATACTTATTATAACAGTTTCAAACTGCAAAAATGTTCTTTATTAAAGCCACGAAGTTTTGAAGTGCAGGCTTCCGAATCTACATTACCAAGTTGGTCATAGTTCTCGGCGATGTTTCCAGCTCCACACCAGAGCGTCCCAGGGTAAGTGAAGCCGCGTTTGATTCTGCGCTGTGCCCCTCCGGTCTCCACACCCACGTTGCTTTTATCCTCTTCACCTGGCCCTGTTGAAGATGAGCCGGTGCCCCTACCGCGTTTTGGTTTTCTCAGGAAAGCCTGGCAGTGTGACTTCGCCTCGGCCACGTTCAATAAACTTTTATGCGAATCTACAAGTTTGTGCCTCTGATCTTTCAGCCCCAATCTGCACACGTGCATGAAGGACTTCACCTCCATCTGGCTGCGTGTTACGGAGCAGTCAGCAAGGTCCCCGGCGAGATTGCGAAGCGTGCGCACCTCCTCGGCGCCATCCGACACTTGGTGGAGGTAGTTTCCTGCAAGCCTGGTACTCCTACCGCAGAAGGTACCGTTTATCATATAAAATACTTCACTGCTCTCTGTCTCTGCATCCAACAAATCATTTAGAATCTGAGCCTTTACGAAGTTTCTATCCAGATAGGACAAAAAAACAAAGATCATCGACCACATTTTCTGCGCTTTCAGCACCTTCGGCCCGTAGACAGCAGCCCCTCTCCCACGCTGTCTCCAACCTCAGCCTTATAAAGACACGTTTTCGGTGGTACGATTATTAATACGTAGAGTGACAATAATGGGAGGGGTCCGGTTTTATTAACCCCTTCTTCGCTGGAACGGTGACTTGCGCGCTACGTTCAAACGTATCTTTACGAATTTATTACAATGGATCTGTGTTGAATTTACGACGCGCAGGCAGTGATCAATCAAATAACGTCGGAACTGAACGTGGTCACTAAAACACGTCCAAGTTCAGGGTACATATAAATTAATTACATCTACAAATTCATTTATTAAACATATATATGCACATTTGTTCTTTTATGTTGAAAACATTAGGAGCGTGCAAAAACATCACGAATTCCAAAGTTATTTTTAATGAAATAGTGAAATTAAAATGACTTTCCGTAGTGACACAGTTAATGCCGGTTAACTCCGCTGGCCTGCTGTGACCGCAAGTTACCTCTCCACCCCCCCCTCCCACACCACTACCGCCCCACCTCGAGATTTAGTTTGGTGACGCCACAAGGAGGAGGTTCCTCTCGGCCTTTCCATGGTAACAAGGGATGGGGTGATCTTTTCAATCCACGAGATTGGGCATCTCCGAGATTCCCCAAAGGGCATGGGTAATGACCTACTTAAAATGTGGGAACAAAAGTCTTTTTTTTCAATGAGAACAAAGGTTCACCGGAAATCTCACTATTACAGTGGTATTGCAATGATGCGAAACACAGTTGTTTAATAATAGCGGTGCACCTGTCAAAATGTAGGTTACTTGTTTTAGTTCTGGTTATGATAAGGTATGAAGGCTGCTGTGGGTATCTGCTCCCTATCTATGGCCTCATTGCTGATTGGCGTTGCTGCCCGAGGCGGGGGTGTTCGGGTGGAAGGTCAGAATCTAAAACCCCACATATCAGTCCGCTACATTGGATGTAGCTACTTACGGATAAGAAAGAGGGTGCATTCCGATTCTCCAGTAATTTAAATACATATGATCACAAATACAATCATCGTCAAAGCACGAAAGAAGAGAGAGCCAGATTATTACACTTGTACCGCATAAAAAAACGAACAAAATGCGCTTAAATTTAATCTCGAACTGGGTAGTAAATTCAGTACTAAGCATTTTTCTGATAGTCAACAACAGGGATATAGCCCATAGCAGTGGTTTTCAACCTTTTTTGCATCACGAACCAATTTTCGCTGGTCTGTAGGATAAAGCAATATGACTGTGTAGTTATACATTAAGTTTCTTGGCAGGACCTTTGTGGGAGTGCTTAATTAATCAAAAAGTTAAATCATTGGGCAGTAATACTCCACAACTGATTAATTTGAAACCGTGACTAGCTCAATATGACAGTGAATCACGTGCTAAGGAATTGGGAAATTAAAACGAGCAAGACTATTCTATCATTCTGAAATGACTCATTTTTGCATCTTTCTCTCTCTCAGAAGAAATCCGATTTCATTATGTCGGGCGGTGTTATCACTTTGTTACGTTAACACGGGCCTTGCAGGAAAACGGGTTGTTCTTGTTTAGTAGAATTGTCCGCGTTACTGTACCAACATAAAGAACTACTAGGTGGGGAAATGAACACAGAAAGAGATGTTTCCTACGGAATGCAGCAGCAAAAAAACGCTAAGATAACTATAATGCAGTTTTAAAAATGACTGTCCCTATGTGAATTATAATTGCTTGATTCAAAGTAAAAAATAAATCGTGATTACTCACTGCAGATTGATGATATTCCCAATATGCCTAATATTTTGTCTTTAAGTTCAGAGACCAAACATTTCCTGTTTAATGAAACGGTAGGAAATACGCCCGTATTGTCGTGTTTTATTCATCAGAACAGTTTACTGTAAGCGAACGATTTTCAGTTTTTAAACATAACCACACGTAGAGTCAATAGTCAGTGTAGTTTACATTTATTTATCATCAAGAGTGTATGTTTAAATAGCTGAACTGATTTCCTATGCAATCTATGGCACGTTTTAAAAATGCCCCTATGTGAATTATAATTAAAAATGCCGTCAAAATGTCTTGTATTTTGATACAAACAAGTTTGTATCTGTATTAATGTAGACAAATGTTTATAGCCTACTGCACGGAAATACAAAACAGAGTTGTGTCGTAACACAGTCAATGAGTGACGTAACTTGACGAGAGTTAATGAATCATTAAGTTGCGTGGTTATTGGACATGTTACTTCATAGCTTAGTCTCGTCCACTTAGTGTCGTAAGAACAAATAGTTGACATGAACATCAAGGTCACGTTCCTCATTAATCTCTTCACAAACTGAGATCTTATGTTTTCCTTAACAAATCCGGTAACCGGGGCCGAAATGTTTTTAAATATCTGAATTTTCAGACACAGCAACGTCTCAGTGAGTCGCAGGTCCAGCAGTGTCGTACACGGTATAGATATTTCGACCCATTATATGCAGAATTTAATAGCTGTTCGTAATAATACTCCCGGACATTTTAAGTTATTTTGAGGAATATATATGATATGCTCACGAATGAGTAAAGTGTTCTTGTTTAAGGTATCAGGGGATTATGGGTAATTTAAATATATAAAGGAATGATTGCTATTTACCCCAATCGGTTTGGCTACCTCTGACTAATGCTTTATAAGGATAATACATAATCCATTCAGACAGTCTATGTTGCATTCTTCACACTTGATTCCTTGATCTAAAAATTCCTACAGGTTTTATGATACCAGGTTGTAGCTCTTCACACAGTCTTGTACGGTTGGGAGGTGAAGCCCATAGTGATTATTCTGTGCTGTCAGTGTTAAGGTTTAAACCACATTCGGTTCTGAATTTTGTAGACTTGCTTTGGATTGATCCTCCGTTTCGCGGCGCACGTCATTCCGTCCGCGGGGAGTGTTCGGTTTGCATGATGCCGCCTGTGTTTGGAGGCGAGTTACTGCTGTAGTGAAATCATTCACGTGAGTAGTTTAAAGAGCCGCGAGCCCGTTCAATCAATAAGGATGCAGTCTTTGGAAACCTGAAGAGTTAAAAGATTTCTGTTTCTTGCACAGATTACAGAAAGAGAAACGTGGGGCCGAACTCCCGTGCGGATACGGTGTCCCGAGGGGCGCAGTCGGGGTGTGCATACCCTGCCGGATTCAGGGGCCCTTGGATACATAAAATCGGTGAGAGGGGCAAGGTGACGTTGTCAGGTTTCCCGGAATGTCCATCTATACCCCAGGCTGCCCCTATTACTCAGACATGATTAAGCATACGGAACCGGAGGAAGAATGTACTGAATTTTCACTCAGTTTCAGAAAAATCCTAAAATAATTTACTATTTTAACATATTTCATTTTACAAAAATATTTACTAATAATAGCAACACGAGCCTTGCTTTAGTAATTCTAGAACATTGTGAAGAGGCACACTACTTAAGAAAACCGATGCTCTCCGGTGCACTCCGATAATTAGTAGGAAAAACTAATCCTTACGCCTTTGAGTGACGAGTCTTGAAGTATCGTATTCTTCCATACGAGGGCGCTAAACTTTCATTTTAGGAGTTGTTCATGCAATCTTTGAGGGTGGCTGTAGGTAAATGTAGCCTCCGTAGTCCCCAAAACCTGTTGGCTTTTAAAGGTTATTTTTTTATAAAGTTAAACATTCTACGTTCAACCAAACAAAAGTTAAAAACAGCAAAGAATATTCTAGTTTTTGTGTCTAAAAGTGTGCATAAAGTAGAAAAATTACATTTGTATGGTAAAATAATTTTATTGGTCTAACTGGACTGTAAAAAGATTTAACTAAAATCCTTAACACATTTTCAGGTATTTAACACTGAAATGTAACACTCCAGGAAATGGGGGTGCATTTTCTACCTGGGCCTTATGGTTAACTTCCACATAAATATTATCCCATCGCACACACCGACATCTTCGCCGTCATCACCATCCTCATTGTAGATGAATGTACAAAGCCTGAACAGTTTTGCCATAGAACACATAACCCTAGGACACAAGGGATCTCTCAGCATGTACCATATTGCACAGTGAAACCAGCACACAGCCACTACAGGAAGCCTTGCATGCTAACGAGCAGGTAACGTGACGTCCAGAAGAATGCAGCAAAACCCAGCAGGAAAATGCTTGTGACCCACTTCCAGCGTCAGCGGAGAGGGAATCCGGCCCATGCAGAGTCCTCCATTCTGGGGTGGCGTCCTGCTCAGTGCCTGGCGAGCAAAGGCCCTGCTCTCCATGGCTATAAGTCTTGTCACGCTGGTGGCTGATATTCCTGTAGTGTAAAGTGTGATGTACTGGCCTCTCTCCTTTTATTTACAGCAGCTGGACTTGCTCTTCTTTGGTGTTGCATAAAGGTTACCAGAATTACTGCTTATCCCTGTAAGAAAACCAGCATGATGATCTCGGCACACAACTCCACCTGCGGGACATATTTAGTGTGTTGTATCTAACAATGAGATTCCTCATGTATAAATACACAGGAATTACATGACATGATCAAAGGATTACTCAACCACAGATTCCCAGCTTAAATAATCGTACTGGAAGACTGGTCTTGTGGGCCGACCTTAACCAGGTTAATTTGTTTCAGGGCGGGTAGTTGGAGTTTACTCACGGACGATGTCACCGACGCGCCTTGAGCCGCTTTTCTCCAGCTCCGCCAAGACGTTGGCCTCGAAGGTCAGCGACGCCACGCGGAAGAACAACTCCCGAACGTTCTCACCTGCGAGGCAGGTACGCATGCAGCCGTGTCACAAACCGCCAACACCAAACTGTCACACGCGTCCAAGCAAATTGCATGAGCGCTTCATCGGATTCGGGGACCAGTGACCCACCCGACAGGGCAGATACAGCCCAGTACTCCGCCTTCATCTCCTCTGCCATCTTAATGGCGTCCTCCTCAATCTGAGAGTACTGAGCAGGAGACTGAGGGGAGAGACAAGACTCAAAGTTTGTCCAGGTCAATCTAAGCTGAACATGCAGGTGGGCATTTGGGGGGAGGGGCAGCACGCACACTCAGGTCTTTCTTGGTGCCAACCAGGAATAGCAGGATGTGGGTGGGGTCATTCTCCTTCAGTGCATCTTCCAACCACTGCCTGAGGGCAGAAAGAGGAAGAGCTGAGAGTGAAACACTCTGCTGATGTGGTTCCCAACTGCACCCTGGTGGTCTGCAATGTGTGCAGCGTTCCCAGGTCCTTAAACCGCTAACGAAAGTAGCCGGATATTGGGTTGGTCAAATTAGGCAGAGTAATTAGCACAACTGAATACTCAGGTGCTTGGGCACCTCAGACATTTGCAGATGCCACGGCCAGGAAGGACCACAGCTGAACCATTAGTCTAGGGTACTGAAGTTCACTCCATACCTTGTGTGGTCCAGAGAGGCCACATCAGTCACGTCAAACACAACGATGATAGCTGTGGAGGACCAGGGAGCAGAAGCCAAATTAAAGAAAGCATGTGACAAATCTGTCCTGACATACCCACAATGCACCAGTTCCACCTCCCGTGAATTGGTCTAAAGCAGGGGGGGGGGAACCTGATCCATGGAGGGCCGGTGTGGGTGCAGGACTGGTGTTGAGAACCACTGCTTTATTATTGGCTGCCTGAGAGGCCATCCCAAAAACCCACACCGGCCCTCCATGGAACAGCTTCCCCACCCCTGGTCTAAAGGGTCAACGAAAAGAGACCGAAAGAAGATCCATCAGAAGGTGAGCGGGAGGTGTTTGCCGTACCCTGCGCTCCCCTGTAGTACGTGGAGGCGATGCACTTGAACCGCTCCTGGCCTGCAGTGTCCCACCTGAGCAGGGGAAGAGCACTTAACATGAGGGAAATATGAAAAAGAACAGGCTGAAGTCACTGCTCTAGAACTCATCCTGACCTACTTACAGCTGCAAACTGAACGGGACCCCCAGCACTTCAAACCGCTCCATCTCGAAGTCCACACCAATGGTTGCTTTGTAGTTCTTATCAAAGGTGTCCTTGCAGAACCTTTGGGGGGGACAGAATCATCTGAAATGCTTGAAAGCCCAAAAACTGATTGTAGCTGAAGTGGCTGACAGCCCACGCCTAACTCAAGAGGGAACATTGCTGCTCCATGCAGAAATTCACTTATTAACTTTAGCCTCATCTAAAGTTAAACATTTTCCCTGTTCAGCCCAAATGCCACCCTTTGAGCAGGCTTTAGTAACTCCACCCCCTCCCCGACCTCCAAACCAATCATAAGCTGTCTTCATGTTTCGCTTACCTATTAATCAGGCAGGTTTTCCCCACAGCCAGGTCACCAACCACGATGACCTTGGAGATCTTGAACCTGCTGGGAGAATGACAGATAACGAGGGAGTCCCAGGAAATCCAAAGTTCTGGCAAAACCGCCCCATGCCAAACGGGGCTGCCCCGGAGCCTGGGCCTCACCCCACTGTGCCTGTCCTGTGCTCCTGGCAGGCCGTCTTCACCTTGGAGTGGAATCCATCCTTGGTGTGCAGGGCTGCATCCTTACTGAAAGGCTGGCAGGACACAAGAGGCCTGTCAGAACTCTCCTAGCTCCTGAACACCTACCAAATTTGTCCTGTGGGGAGTTACATATGAGGGGGACTGTGCTTTGTAGCCGTACACCCCCCCCCATCCCCATAATGTATGGAGGGGCTCTGAATGGGTAGATGTGTGCCAGGAGGCCTGCGGAGGAGGTGCTCAAGCCCCAACAAAAACCCCAGTATAGGAGGAGGAAACGACTCAGCAAGTCTGGACTGGAAGCACTAGGCAACACATTCCAAACACCACACATCACATGGGATGGAGGGGGCCGAGCCAAACAAGGAAGTGACGGGGCTTTGCTCAGTGGCCCACGAAGGGGTACCTGGGGCAGCTGGGCGATGACACGGTCCCTTCTCACGGGGGGCAGCACACTCATGGTGGGACTCTGGGAGAGGGACACAGGAGGGGCGTGATACTCAGCCCATAAGGGGACTCACAGTCAGTGCCTCGCTTATTCCTGTGTGAATCTTACATTCCAGTTGGTTCATATTTTCTTGGTCGTTCAAATCCTTCTGAATCTCACCAGTGCACTTGGCTTCCTGTTAATTGTCAGGGCTACAAATTGGATTGGGGGATGACAAGCAAGCAGGTCTCAAAGAGCATACATTACCCGGATCTGTACAGTACTGTATTCTGTTAGACTCCCCGAGAGCCTGGATGCTACACTTACTTAGAGCGGCTAACCGTTAGCTAGCCAGTGAGTGAATCACTACTTAAAATGCTAAATATGTGCCTGAAAAAAATGCCATGATGTGCTTTCAATGTTGTTAGAACGTTATACTGCAGTAAAAAATTAATCTGATTAAAGTTCTTAAAACTTGTGTTTCTAAGTTCAGTCATGTGTTTTAAAGTGCAAAAGTATAGACGAGAAACTCACAATTTGATCTTGGTTATAGCTGTATAATGTAATACCGATGGCAAATGAAAACTAGCCTACGATTGCATGCAGATTCTGGTTCAGCCTGCGGTGGATATTTTTGTTCCAGCGACGATTCTTCTAGACGATGTTAAAGTAATCCGTTTTAATCCGATTTCGAAAGAGGGCCTTTAACAAAGAAACACTGATTCGGACACACAGTGTTAATGGTCAGAAACTGCAAAACTAAAAACGAAAAGTCTGCATGGAAGTAGTACATCATTTAAAATCGTCAAATGTTACAAACTTGGTAGACAAATAAGTTTTAACTTCCATTTCTTTCACTCCCTCTCTAACTACCTTATACATTTAAGTAAACTAAACAGAACCATTCACCCTTAACTCCATTTAACTGGATGATTAAAAAGACATCTTACAAGTGAAAGCATACAAGGATATAGCCACGTCAATACAATCTGGTTTTCCTTTAAAGCAATCCGCTTTTCACTAAGTAATACCTGTTATGTCAAGTACTGTAACGGGCATCAAGAGGCGCAAACATAAGACTCGTTGAAGTATTTTCGTTTGAACTCCGAGACAATGCATACAAAAGCTAGGTTAAGAAAAACCATTGCGAACGTACCTTATATATCTTCTAGCTTGCAAAAAAGTAATTTAATCCATTCAATAAACAGGCGAGTTACCTTTGAACAGCAAAAGATATACGTGCCAGGTAAGAAACCTTCCCAGATTCAGATGCACGGAAGTGATATTTCAGACAGACGGCTTTGATTAAGGGCAGCGGTGGGACAGCCCCCTGGATTTCAGCTTTTAAGATCCGCAGACCTCCCTATGTTGGATATCTGGGGAAGGGGGTCTCTCTGGGGTTATTTAACCTTAAACCCAAAACTGTGGAAAGTGGCACAAGAAAAATCTGTAATCATCATTTTAAATGAATGGCATAATTTTTCAAGCAACGGGAGATCCCTGCATATGGTGCGTAGTACACGTGTTAAATGCTTTGTCTCGATCGCTTCTTACTCTCACATAGTACTGTCCAGTATTAATATTCTGCATGTGTCCCGTCCTGTCAAAATATAACGGCTTTTGTAGTTTCGGAATCCCGACTGTGCAGCCTGCATAACGCTCCAGTGGAAAAATAGGCGAACAAAAATCCCAGCACTACATCTCCCATAACCCCGGCCCATTACCCCAGCGTCCCAAGATGGCCACGACTCCAAGGCCAATTTACTAAAAACGACTAAGTGCAATACAATCCGACAGTGGTTATGTGTGTTTATCACAAGCTGTCTGTAAATGTTGATCTTTAAAATGCAGCAGGACGTCCGACAGGCATGACTTTTAAAACCACGTCTTACCTGGTAGCGTTAGTAAAATAGCAGAAATCGGTAACCATAGTTATGGGGATTTTGGCTAAGGCTGAGCTACTTATATGCTTGGCTAATTTTTCTAACTGCAGATTTAAGCGGATATAATTCTTGTAATCATGGTCAGCAGATTACTGCAGACACACCCACGCCGTTGGTGCCGGGGCTCGCTGATGCATGGCTCACGTCTGTATATCAGCAAGTGGTTAGTCATCATCACCGGTACACTGGAGCATGTCACCAGTAACAAACAATAAGGCTCAGCATCAGGTACAGACATACCTATTTAAGATTCTGGCTGTTCGCTGTACAGTTCACAGGAAGGCTAGATGTTTGCATCCTTTTGTTGTAGGCTATTATGGAAGAATCTTCATATGACAAATATAGGCTACAATATAATCATTGCACAATACAAGGAACTACATTAAAAATCTAGATTTTTACAGCGAACAATACTTGTCGTCCTTTGCAAAGCCTATAGGGGGCAGTCTGCATAGTCAGATATCCGACATCTGGACCGAGAAGCTGCACGTTTGTCCTCAATACTACAGCCGATTCGCACGTTTTAGCTCTTTCTAATTAGCCGGAAAGAGTCTGATTAACTTAAAACCAATTCTTAGTTCAGTAAAGTCGTTCTCATCGCCCGATGTGTCGTGTTTTCCCATAGCATAAGATTAATTTCATATGCATTCATATGGCACTTTTGTTACCCAAAGTTAGAACGGCTGCACTTATTCTTGTCGGACGGAACATTCGCCCAAAGAGTTACAAGCTGTCACATATTTTTGTTGCGGGATAAATCTGCGGCTGGAAGGGATGAATGCGCTCTTAGGAATGTTCAGTTCTTCCATGAGGTCAGCCAAACCCCCAGCTTTCCCGGAGTGTCTCTCTGACCGCCCGTTTCAGCTGCACCGCCTTAAAAATCTCCAAATTCCGGCTGAACTTATCATGGATTCTGGTATCATTTATGAGGCAAATAGCCTAATTCATTTATTAAGTTTGTGACCAAATACTTCCGATGTGTGAAAATATTGTCGATGTTATTAATACAATATAAAGAGTCAAACACACAAACGTGTTTTATCACCCTGATTCTTAAAAAATACAATAGAAAACATTCATTATTAACAAACTTATATGGTGAGTGAGTAAATTTTAAAAACCGTTATGTAGGTATTTAGTGTGAAGAGATGTGCATCAGCTGTCTCCCTGTCCATCAGCTGGTGTGGGCTTCATTCGGACAGTACTTGTACCAAAACCACGGCCATCGTTTCCCTTTACGGTCGCCGCTCTCCGTGGATCCGACCTGGTTTGTTTTCAGACAAGTGCCAAAAGATGCCAACAGGTGTCACCAAAAGCTATCAAAACTAGCTATAACACAGCTACCTCAACCTGTGTTAATGTGTCACATAGCTACTCAAACTGCACTGCCTGAGTCATTAGCAGCCATGTAAGGTTTTGTGAAAATACTGGAGGCAGCTCAGAAGACAGGATGATACGCGTATCTGCACGAGACGGGTATATGTCCTGTGAGGTTCTAAACACAGAGTTCGGAAGCCAAACTGTTGATGGTGGAAGTGCATTTTAAGAGCATCATGATGTAGCCTCTCTGCCTTATTCGCTGAGAAACTTCTTGGAGTTTGTTGTGCCATTGTGGGCCGTGTGGGCCTTGGCCTGGGGGAAGAAGTCGGCGCGGAGCAGGCGGCCAAAGTAGATAAGGATCATCAGGTTCATGAGCATCATGGTGCTGAGGAAATAGCCGGCGTGGTCCAAACTGGAGTAGTTCCTCACAATGAACCAGGTGAGGAAGGCCTGGGCGCCCAGGCGGAAGAAGACGTAGGTGGCAAGGTTGAGCAGCCGGTTGAGGCCGTACAGCCTAGAAGCCTGAGCTCCTGCCAGCTTCAGCATCAGCCGCATGTGCAGGAAGACGCTGTTAACCTCCACGAAGAGAGCCACCACCGCACCCGCCACGTAGCGCCGTGTCACCAGGGTGTACAGGAAGGTCCAGACCACCTGCGGAGGTTGGGGGAGGGAAACACCCCAAGAGGTTATTTTTACTGAGGGAAAAAATATCAACTCGACGATATTTTGGCGTATTACTCCTTTATATGACCATTCTGTCCAGGTGCTTAAGGCATTGATGTTGAGATCCAGTGGGTGTTGGCCCTTGTGGGTTTAAGGTCCATAGGAGTAGGATGGTGTGTTATTTGCAGGGTTGGGAGGGTCTGGGCTGTGTTTGCTACATAAATAGAGGCACACTTGAAAGTCACTTTGGACCTAGTCGTCTGCTATACAAGTAGCTGTATATAGTGTGGTGACTTCACCACTAGAGGCAGTATTGTACTGTTCTTAGCCTTCCCCTGTAGAGATTTTTTTGGCTGCTTCTTTAGTTCGCTGACATCACTACAGGCCTAGTGTCACATGATGCTACTTCCTCTGATACAGGGTGTGAAACCAGGCCATACTCACTACAGTATGTGTGGGTTCTCATATAAACTCATTCACCTGCTTGTGAGCTTGAAATGCGTGTGTGTTTATTTTACAAAATTTGATGGCACTGCAACCGCACAGGTCTGGGACAAGACAATCTCCCACAAACACACACACTCTGGTCACAACCCAACACATAAAAGTGTGTGTTGTTCTCTGGTGGGTGGGGCCATGCCATCACCCAGGCAAATGAATGAGATCTGTGTGCTGCACTCAGAATACCCCCATTGTCACCTCAGACAACATGCCGAAGGGGCTGAACAGAAAGGGGGCAAGGCCAGTGGGGGATTCTGGGAAACAGGAAGCCACATCGCAGACTCTCATTTTGATTATTGTTGTTAGGGAATAGAAGATACAAGCTCCCTCACGACCAGTCATATATCAAGAGAGTTGGTGATGAGCGGTACACAGACATACCATTGCATGATGAAGCAGGAACTCCCATGATCCTCTAGCATGTCCCGTAAGGATAATGTCGCCGGCGTCTTGAACAAAGTACCCTGCAAACCAGAAAGCTGGGTCAGTACTGGCCAGAGATGCCCAAGATCTGCTCCCCTCTGAAGACAGCCAGATGCATGAGTGTCATCTTTTCTTAAGAGAAGAGAAAACCTGTAGGACTCTTCTTACAAACATGCCTCCACAGGTTTCCTGTTGGGTGGCTGGTGTGGCTGTCCTGGGGTGCGGCAAAATCAGACAACAAGCCTATTCATTCACCCCCCCGTGCTTCATTACTGATCGTATAACATTGGCTTCCGTTTTTTTATTTCTTTTACAACATACTGATAACAGATGCTCTCACTCCTCCCCATAGATGTCCTGTACCCTCTACGAGTCTCGGATCCTTCCTCCCGTCCTCGTGTCCAGTTGAGCTGTTCACCGTTCTGCCTGGAGCAAGCCTTGCACTACTGTAAGCCTATACAAGTTTGTCATTTGTCATTGTTAAGTATAATTCTCACGTGTGTCATCCTTAAATTAAGAGGTTTCTCAAGGTCGGACTGCTGGCTGTGGTGTAGGAGCTGCTCAGGGTGTGTGGAGAGGAATCAGGAAATGCCTGTTGGCCGTCTGCAGCAGAAGATGTTCGCTGAACCTGCACTGACCTGTAAACCGTGAGGCTGTCCAAGCCTGCCCCAACCAAAAAGACATCTACTCAGCTGTGATGTGACGGTCCCTAGCCCTACGTCTCACAGAGCTTCAGAGAGTGATGGAAAACTGATAAAATCAGGGAAATTCCCCCCTTTGCTTCACGTCCCCTCAGTTGGGTCCTTACCCCTCCTAAGAAGGCAGGAACCCCCCCGATGGGAAAGAGGGCTGTTTGTAGCTGTAGATTTTGGTCTCTAATGGCCTGAAACCAGATGAATGTACCTAAAACTTTCCTCTTCTGCCTTGTAATTATTTGTGCTGAGCGCCTACAAAAAGCTTTCATCCCTTGAGAATCTCACATTAAGAACAATCACCCCCCCCCACCCACCAAAATCATGCTGAAGTGCAAACAGCCGCGTCTCCGGAGTGATGCCGTTCTCGTTACCACCTCGGAGTGTGGATTTCGGCTTAGTGACCTCTAACCATGCCTACCCGGGTAAAATGGACTTGGGCTTAGTGACCTCTAACCATACCTACCCGGGTAAAATGGGCTTGGGCTTAGTGACCTCTAACCATGCCTAACCGGGTAAAATGAGCTTGGGCTTAGTGACCTCTAACCATGCCTAACCGGGTAAAATGAGCTTGGGCTT